CTTCTTTACCGGTGCGGGCAGCTCTGTGGACCCAGCCATCAGCAGCTCCGCCCTCCAATCTCAACTCTTCACAGGAGGCTGCTGCATGAATGGCTCTTGCTCCAAACAGCACATTCTGATAATTTTTTATCTCTTTTTGGACCAAACAAGTGGATTAAATGCAGCATCTCAACAAGGACAGGGGAGACTGTCGTGTAAAATCTGCTTTAAATGGAAGAAATAACCCTTTTCTATCATGTCGTCTTTTGGGGAGATCTGAAATGTAACAGCACGACTGTTTGGGACTCATTGGGAGGTCGGGTGGGAAAAGCACCCCAAGTGTTTGACTGTCAGTCACCACTGCTATTAAAACTGAGGTAGACGAACGTCCCGGGCAGGGACAGATGTTTTCGTAAGCTCCCCAGCCAGAGAGGTGCCAGGCCTCAGATTCCACACCAGAACAGAATCATGCAGCATCAACCAAAGACACACACACACACACACACACACACACACACACACACACACAAAAACAATGGGACAGGCAGACAAACCGCATGGATGTGGTTTAAAGTCTGTCTGTCCGTTTGATTCCCTGGTTCCTTTGTGAGCTGGTGGGCAGAGAAAACCATCTATGGTGACCGGGAATGAAACACTGGGACGCAACTGAAAGGAACTCTCGTACAAACACACAGCAATGCTCCGACCAATAAGCCTATCTTCATAATACTTGAACTTGTGGGCCACAGCTCAGTGGCACAGCCTGATCACATGCTATCCTATGACCTGTTAGAGGAGAGGAGTAACAAAAAACAAAACAAAAAGCAAAAACCTTTCCCTCATTACTTTTGATACATTCGCCCGTCAAAAATCTGCCATGTGACAAGTGGCTCCTTCCCTCACAAGGGTCAGTTCACTTCAATTTCATTCAGGAGATTTTCTTAAAAATCTGAAAATATTGATATTCAGCCTATTAAAATACTGCAGTGACAGTCTTCCATAGAAATCTATAAATGTCACTTTAAATCGTAGTTTGAATCACGTGAAAATAGTGAGTGGACCTCAGATCAGCCCACTGTTCAAATAGAGCAATGAGCTCCGACAGATAAAGCGCAGCCAACGCCCAAGTGACCCATTGTTCCCCAAACCTCAGTCCTTACTGTTCCCAGGACTTAAACCGCATGTGTCAGACAACTAAAAAGGGCGTCACTAAAACAAATTGAACCAAAAGCAGAAGGGGGAAACCTAAAGAGATGAGGACAGGACGTAAAGTCATCCTAAAGCTTTGTTTACAAGCTGCTAAGCAAACAGAAAAACAGAAGAGATCAAACAGAAGTAGCCTTCTATGGCAATGTAATATTCCCGTTTTGGTGGTTACCGTTTCCCAACTGCTGGCAGATTACAGACTTCTGCAATATGATGACAAAATAATTATTCGAAATGGCGTATTTCAAAGAGGGAATGTGGGACAGGACTTTGGCAAAGTTTGAGAAGAGGATTTCACCAGATTGATGCAGTACTCTGAGGGAGATTCTGTGGGATTATGAGGACGGCAGCATCTGTTGTCCGTGGAATAAAAAAAAAACAAAAAAAAAACACATTGAGTCGTTTTGGAGAAAAGTTAGGAAGCTTCCACTCCCAAAGGGGAAAAAGCCCGCGAGGTTGGAGCTGTTGTCCTCACATGGACTCGAACTCGTCGATGCGCTGCTTGGTGTTGCCCTGTCGAATCTGACGTAGCGTTTTATATTTGTCCCGGCCGGCTTTCACGTTCTCGGCGTGCAGCACATCGTTCTGCGTCTTCTTGGTTTCATCTCTAGCCTGGGCCAACTCTGAACTTAAAGTCTGAGAGAGCAGAGAGAAGAGAGAATAAGAGGGTGTAGAGGAGGGAGATGAGGACAGGACAGACAAAATGAGCGCAGAAAGGAGGAGAAACACAGCAGTGATGGAGGCGTAGAGGTTGCAGTTGAGACAAGAGAAGACAGAAAGAGGACAGAAGCAGGGGTGGAAAAAGGGGAAGACACCTAATTATAAAAGCAAACATCTGATTGACACTCAGCGGATCATCTTTGGCCTGTGGTTATTTGTGCGCTGTGACGTCTGATGTTCACTGAACAAACAAAACAGAAGGAGCGGTCAAGCACACGAGTGGGTCAAGGCAGGTTTCTCCAGCACCGTTTGGTCGGGGGACGCAAACTTGCAAAGTCCGATAAATGAATTTTCTTTCTTGCGTGCTTGCTTTTGACTGAAACGGTTTAAAATTCTTCTAGCCAAAGCTTCAGTACCTGTTCTGGCCTATGCAGTAGACCAAGCTTGAAATAAGGCCTTTATCAAAAAAAGATTCAAAATCTTAAGAGACTGGACATCACGCCTCTGTTTGGTTATCCTACTTTAAAGCCGGGCAGCAGCATAAACCAGCACATCTCCTGGTAAAAGCAGGAGTTTGAAGAGAACGGACAGACATGCGTGCCTCATCTTACCCTGATCTGCCAATGCTTGGCCCGTGTTTCTTCTTTGCAAGAAAACTGCTGTTAGAAAATATATATTCTGTTTGTTAGTTGTGTTGCGACGCACAGACGTCCTCTAGTTGCTTCAACCCAGATTAACTTAGTTTTAAGATAACTATCAGGATAAATTGTTTGACTAATCTGGAGTTTTTTCAGTTTTAGACCATCACTTGATACGCTGCTTTGAACTGGGATTTAAATCTTTATTTTCTGTGTACTTTTTAGAAATCCGACTTCATCGAGAGGTGCATAGATGGTAAATTTAGAGAAGGCTTCGACCCTAAAGTCTTAAATCTGCCCCTTCCCCCTTACCTGAAGCTGTTTCTTCACCCTCTCATTCTTCTGAGCTTCGGTGACTCGCTCCTCTTCACTGCGGAGGTCCAGCTGGCTAACTCCCTCGTTGGATAGTTCAGCGCTGGCTTCTGCGTGGTTCTCATCCTGCTCGTCGTGCTCGCTCTCAGCGTTGCCACCTGGATGTGCTGGCACCGTCGTGGCTGTTTTCAGCTCCTCTTTGGTCTTCTCCAGGTCCTCCTGGGCTGACAAAGCCTGCAGGTGACAGGGGAAGACAGAGTTAGGACACCAGATGAGTAAAGCCAGCTTGTGGATGCATTGGCCAATAGTTTAAGGGTTTGTGCTTTGAGAGAGATTTTTTTTTATTTTTATATATTTTATAAGGGGGAAAAAAAAAGAACAATCGGCCAGAGGAAACAGCTGCATCGTATCAGACCACATTCACATTAACTTAGATTGACTCTGCAGGGCTTTGAAATGGGGAAGAAAAAAAAAAAGGGAGTAGTTGTGCAAATTCACACTGAAAAACTGAACAAAAACGGGAGAAAAAAAAACCTTTACGAGGAAAAATAATACAATGAAGATTAAAATCCACAGCTAATAACACATTTGCTGAAAATTCAAGCAGAACACTGTAAATGAGCCATTGATGAACACCACTGTACCTTGTGCTGCCACTCGGTGGCCTCGCTCTCTTTCTTCTTCTTGGCTTCCTCCAGGAGAGCAATCCTGGCTGTAAATTCAGCCAACTCAGCAGCCTGGAAAAAGACATTCAGATCCCGCAGTTACAAAACAACTAAATGTCACCAGGAGCTGAACAATACAGTGTTGCAGCTCACACTGCGCACAAACACACCAGTGTCTCCTGGTTCTTCTGCTGGTCTGCTGCCTGCTTGGCCAGCTCCGACTTGGCCTCCTCGGCTGTTCGTCTTTCTCTCTCCAGCCTTTCGGCTTCCTCCCGTGCCCTCTTTCTTTCCTGCTCAAGCTCCATAGCTCGGCGAGTCTGTTCCTCAAGTTCTGCAGAAACCCACAATAATGACTAAATATCAATACAATCCATCAATATATCCACACCTTTATCAATATAATTTTATGAAAGAAAACAAGTTTCTAAATATGTCAAACTTTTCAGACAGTGGACTGGATGAGAAGGAGGCAGCCTAAAAGAGCAGATGATGGATAAAGAGAACAATGTATACCTCTCTGAGCTTTCATCGTCTGCTCTTCAATCTGTCTCAGCCTCTCCATCAGCTCTTCTTTCTCCCGCTCTATCCTTTCTTTCTCTTTCTCTGCAAGCTCTCGCTTCTTCTTTTCATTCTCCAGCTGGGCCCTGAGGACATTAACATACACCACGAGTCAGACGGTGTTTCAAATCAGTCAAAAATGCATCTTACATGACTTTAAATACAAACTGGAGACAACAGGCACATTTGGCCTTTTAGGGATGCTGAGCTAGAGCTACAGCTCCAAAAACTGAACAAAAACCATAAACAAGACTGCCCTCCAGTGGAGAGGCTCCCCTGCGTCAACTTCACCTATTCATTAAATACATTAACAAATAAACTAATAAATGAATGAAAAATAAAAAATAAAATCAGCTGAAGTCTTTTGTTGGACAGACTTCATCTCGATGTGATTTGTGTGCGTTTGTTTTACCTCTCCATCTGTTTGTGGTGTTTCTCCTCCCGGGCTTGAGCCTTCATCTGTTGCACCTCAATGGTGTCAGGCTTTCTCCTCCTCATGTACAACTCGTGATTACCCATACACAAAGCCAGAATACGCTTGTTGATGCGCAGCCGTGGGGCATAAAACACAAAGTCCTACAAGAAGATGAAGAAAATAAATAAATAGAGAAAGTGGGAGTTTCTACATAAAACTCTGAGGAAAAGTGTGGTCCTGATGAATCAAACACTCACCGGTGCCTTCTTGTCGATTGGTTTGATGACAAACTTCTTGTCGTTGAAAGAGATGTTTCGAATTTCACTCCATGGGAAGCCAATTTTTGGCGTTAGTCTGAAAACCGTGATAAATACACAACATTTCAGGACATGGTGACGCTGAAGAAATATAATACGTGTAAAAAAGAAAATGTGCGTCCAACTATAAAAGAGCAAAATGTATTGATAGCAGAGAAAAAGGACATTGTGGGCAGCTGCCCCACAGAGAAGGACAGACACTGTTCCTTGCTACTCGGCCAATGCCATGTTTTTTTTCCTCGTCACCTGGACTAAAGATGCAGGACTGCAACTGTGATGCTCCAAGATAACAGACACAAAGGCAAGGCAGTCTGACACAGAGGAAATGCTGTAAGAGCACAGATTAAATCTATCCTTTCTTCCACAAACAGGAGAAAAAACCTCAGCAGAGGGGACAGGAAAGACACTCCTAAAAACGGTCTGCATTATTACCAGACTATAACGGTGCTGGAACAGGTTAGTTGATGTGCGAGATTTCCCTTACTTGTCCTCGTGCTCATAAATATTGAGGCCAAGGGCATCCACGCCCAGCCACAGCTGTGTGCCTTTCTTGTTTTTGATCTCAAAGTAGTTGACTCCATACATCTCCAAGTCCTGGGCGATCTTAAGATACTCCATCATCGAGTCCTCTCTTCAGAAAAAAAAAAGAAAAGAAAAAAGCTTCAGTTAAAAAAAAATAATAATAAATCGACAAAAAATCATCCAAGATGCAATCTGTAGTCAATTGTATCATAAGAAAATACAACATATGAAATAAATCAAACTGTATATTAAAAAAAAAACTCCAGCTTTCCAGGCAAAACACACACCACACACCTTAGCATTCCCCTGTGTTCCTCATGCCAAGTCTGTATCCTGTCTTCCCATTGTTCCTTCGTCAGCTTGTGCTGCTCCAACACTCTGATGAGACAAAAAAAACAAAAACATATCAGATGAAATGATGAGGAAATGTGGAATAGCTCAAAATGACTTCCTCTACAGGAAATGCTCAGAACAGGAAATGATAGCGATTACTTTTTCACGTGAAATTGAAACATAACAGCTTTTGGTTCTTGCACAGAAATTTATATAAAGCGCAAACATCAAGTTGAGATATGTTTTGTGTCAGTAAACCTCTGAGGCAGCAGTCTGTCATGGGTCAGGTATCCCGCTTTGTGTACATCTTTGCTGTAGTCGCCATACTTGGCCTGGACAGAGTACGAGGCCAGAAGCACGGCTGTTTCTGGAGGACAATAATTCTCATCGTTCAAGATGGCCTCTTTGACCTGGAAAAACATGAAACATGAGCAGATATCCAGAAAAAAATATTCTGTGATAAAGATAATAGTATGGGGCTTCCTTTCCCTAATCAAAGGGGGAAACTCATCCTGGCCCTACTTTAAAGTTATCAGTGTGTGGACATCTGTGGGGTTACCTGCAAGAAGAAGAGTCTCTGGGTGATTTCCTGGATTAGTTCCTCTGACACGTCCTCGGGAAAGAACTTGGCTCTGAACTTGAACTGCAGAGGGCTTTCCTTCTTCACATCTTGCTGAGTGACCTGGTTGATACAGGCAACACTGGGATGAATCGATTGTTAATCCACAAACCAACAGATTGACTGGCGAATTCATCATCTGAATACATGTGGTCTATTGTTAATCCTGAGCATGAATGAGCATGGCCAGCTTTATTTCAGAAAAGCCTAACGTTTGAAATTTTGATTCATGCTCACAACTGTTATTTAGTCACATTAAAGGTGATTTGATCATAATAAATACAATACAGATGTATGCCTTTAAAAAAAAAAAAAAGAAAGGTTTGACTGTAATGCCTCAGAAAAGCACAGTGAGGCGTTGTACTAAACAAGCATGTGTTCACCGTCAGTGCAAACAAGATGCTCTGACATGTGGTGACACACTCACTGGGTGGACTTAACATATGTGCACAGTTGACGCTCACAGATACATAACATAGTTTCCACTGGGACCCCTGCTTGTTAAAAAAATAAATGACTGTCATACATCTCAGTGAGAGCCCTGCACTCGCCCGATGGGAGGGGCCTAACAACCACACACGCACAAACATTCCTGTGCCCAAACTTGTACTAGTTTCACAACAGGGTAATGTTACTGGAACGCATCAGATTTTCTTTAGCCCCTGCCTTTGTCTCATTCCATCTCTCCCACACACACTCGTAGAGAATAAGGATTTTCTGTCATGCTCAGTGGGAGGGTTCAGCCTGTCAGAAACAATGCACACTATGAAACAACATGTGAATAAAATGTATTTGGATTAAAAAGAAATCATAAAAAATACAAATAAAAAAAAAAGGAATTACGACTGTTTCGAGACTGAAGGAGATGCAAAGGGGAACACACCTTTTTATTAAGTTTGAGCCAGGTTGTATAGCCTTTACTGTCCACATACTGTAGGCCAAAGAACCATACCTCACGCAGGCCCACTGTTTTCACCACCTGGGAAGAAAAAGTAAAGAAAGAAAGAAAAAGTGAGGCGCACATTTCACATCTGCTACAATAATCACTTTAAAAGTTGTTTTATAGAGTTTTACTTAAATTGAAGGCGACTTCTCTGGTGATCAGAAAAAAAAAAGAAGAAAAAAGCTTGGTCTTTCCTCATGAGATCTGTGGCTGCTACGCTTACCTGGTCGAAGAGTTGCTTTCCCGTGGTGTTCGGCTGGATGGCAAACTCCAGCTCTGCATCCATGGTGGTCACACGGACATTGATCTGGACAAATAAATATGCCATGGCTGTTGGTTTAGCTGCACAGATTTTGAACACAAAAATAAGATGCGGGGCACAGCATCACGAATGCTGTCATTCAATGCTTCTCCAGCTGAAGGCTCCAATCAAATACACAATAGCTCTCCTACAAGGAGAGAGGATGCCGTTGGTGTGGGCAAAGTTTAAAACTGTTCGCATCCTACATTCTTAGTGGAGCGGTCTGCCTGAGTGAGCAATTGTTAATTTTTCAAGGCAGCGGACCTTTACTCAAAGGCCTGTGTTGGGTGGAGCGGAGGATGAAAGTCAGCCATTGGCTGAGCCTTGTTAAGCAGTCCTGGCAGCAGGCCTTGCAGCAGCTGAAGGCACAGGACAAGGCAGGGCTGGTGTCTAAGGCATCCGACATCCTTCCTTCCACACTTACTGAGCTGTATATTGCCTCAATTGCAGTTGCCAACAGAACAGAAATAGAGAAATGTGCATAATACAGAAGGTGAGAAGCATAAAGGAAAAAAAAGCTTAAAAACACAATTCAGCAAAAGAATAAAAAATTAGGGCATACTTGCTTTAAGATGAACTTACAGTGAGGTAAAGAAAAAAAAAAGAAAGAAAAACAGGCCACATAGACAAGATACTGTCTATGTGCCCCCCCCCCCCCCCCCAAACAACACAACAAACCAAAGGAATGCTAATTTGGCTTTCTCTTCCATTTCATGCGTTTTAATCAATGCAACTGCTGCTTTCAGGCCCCTCTTGTGGTTTCTCTAAATATCCATGTAATGAATAACCCATGAAACTTGTGTCCAAAGCACATATCTGGACTCCCTTGTGACACAAGGCGGTCCAAACACCATCTATCTGTCCCCGTCTGCCTTTCATTAATTACTAAGAAAATATTGCAGCACTTTAACCACCATTAAGCAGTGCAAGATAGTTCTGCAAGTTCTCCTCAGTGAGACTAATTTTTAACAGTCCATTTGTGGTTTCATCTTAAAATTAATTAAGCTGCATCCCATGCTCATAAGTAGAGTTCTCTAGCCTGAGAATTACCCAGTAAAAAGTGTGACCAACTTTCCAGAAAAAGGGTACATTTTGCGCGACTAAGTGATTGTATTCCATTAGCTCAGATCAATTTTCAATCGATTCAGTCGCTTCATTAAAACCCACATGGGATAAAAATCGCTGTGGCATGCATGTTGCCTAAATCTTTAGGGAGATCCATTGAAGGGGCCGGCTGCAAGCAAATGCACAAAAGGAGGAAAATCCATGTTATCAAATAAAGTAAACAAAGCAGTACCTTGGAAATAAAATCAATAGAGATTTACTTTATTCATAATATATTCAACCGCCTCTCCAGTGAGTATAGTCCCCAAATGCAGTTACTTCCTGTCAACAATCTACAACACAACGGTATTAACAGCATTTCAATGAGAATGCCAAGACATCGTATTGAAGAAAAGAGCTTCTTAATCCAATTTCTTTCCTTGTATGAGCATATGAACACAAACAAAGGTTTATAGATTAATGGAGCTCAATTCAGTAAAAGAAAATTCAATATATATTAATAAAAAAGGCACTATGTAATTTCATTAAACATGCCAATAAATTCCAGCAGAAAACACTAAAAACATCTGCTTTGCTACAAGTGCAGAGGGCTATCAGAAAAGTAAATACCAAGGAGTAAAACCAGATAAAAAAATAAATACTTTTTTTTATAGTATTGTAGCAACACTAAGCTCATGGTTCACTGGCGTTATCTTAAGAGACTGTGCCTCAATAACTTAGTGAGACAGGAAAAGTTACAGAGAATGCAGAGAGAAGCTGAGGTTTCCAAGTGACCAGCCTTGACCCCGTGTTTGAGTGGGGGCTCGTCTTCCACCAGCAATCAGCTGTGGAGAAGCAACTTTTGTGCTCCCAGTGAGTGACAAAACACGAGAAACCCGCAGGGCGGAGAGGTGGAATCCTGTAAGGACCAGACGGTTAGTTAATCCTCTCTGCAGCAGACAGAGGGGGAGGAGATGAGGGAGCACAACAACAGGCCCAGGAACCGACACGGCTAATCACAAACATTGACAACTCACACGACTAAGTGACTTTTGCAAGCCAGTCCTAAAAAGACACGAGGTCTGGCAGGACAACACCCAGACAGTGGAACATCACAGTTTACACAAACTGGACTCTAGAAGAGAAAAAGACCAGAAGACAAAATGTATGTAGACACCACTTTATGAAAATGCACACAAAGCCTTTAAGGCACCAACAAAAAAAATACAAACCTAATGGTTAAAGTTGATTTTTATCATTTATCCAATCCAACATCAGAATGAAAACATTTTCTGTTCTTCTAATTTTCATTGACAGCTTCCATTAACCAGTTTTAAATATTAATGACACCATTAAAATATCTCAGAACAAACATTATCACACATTCAAACATGTGAGAGCATCTGCACACAGACAAGCTGCTCCAGCTAAGGCAGATGTTCCATGGAAAAACTGGCCCACTGACTTGAATGGCAGCAGATCGTCTCCTGAGCCTGAGACTAGATGGAAAACGTGACAAGTACGTCAAGTGGCTTCACACTGGGTAAGTCCATGTTCATCTCCAATCATAGGGTCGGCTATAGGCAAGTCGGGTCAGGTCTGTGTGAAAACTTGTAGTCCAACTTCTCCTTTTGCTACATTAAACAGCATGAAAATTGACAGCCAACCAAAATCATGAAGGCGGGGTATCGAACCTAAATGTTTATTCAGCCCCCTTTCAGTCGACATTACACAGCGAGGATAGTCCAGATGTACAACACTGCTGCATTTTGATTGGAACAGACTATGCAGTTTCCTTTTGGATGAAACCCTGCTCTCCATTTCAGTTGTGAAGAGGGGCTCTCACTTAGATTTGACCCTTGTTATATGTGCAGCTGTTTAGTTACAGTAAGCTGTTTAGAAGAGCTTTGCTGAGAGAGGTCTTAAAACAAACACACACTTCAATCAGTAGAGCTGCTAATCTTGTCTGCTAGGCTTCCAGCAACTGTCTGTCTCTCTGATTAACCCCCTTGCAGAGTGGGGCACCTCTCACGGGGAGGAAGAAATTGGAGGAGCAAGAACACATAAGGAATCACCACAACTGGCCACTAAACATTCTTACTTTGATAAAGGGCAGATTCCATTTAGAGGATCTTAAATAATCAAATTGTCTGTTGTCCAGACATAGTAAAGTTTATTTTAAAAACCCACAAGATTTATTAAAAGGGAAAAGAGTCAGAATGTAATTACGGACCTGGATTTTAAAGCAAGAGGGTGAAGGGTCAAACAAAACTGAAAAACCTAGTTTCAATTGCAGTTCTTTCACCAACCAACTTAAATTCCAATGAAATTCCAGTGGAATGTAAAAGAAATAGCACCCATTTTCTTCTCATTTCAAAACTTTACATACAAATTTGACTGCTTCCTTCCTCGATAGTCCCCCAGTGGTCCTCCTTTCTCTCCACGCTGCTCTTTTACTTCCACAGTCAGGATGTTGACATAAACTGTGCCCCCAAAGTACACACTCGAGCCCCTCTCCAGCAAACAGGAAAACAGCCACGAGCTAGGAAGCGAAAGCCTTCTTCCAATTGCCTCATTATTCCTCAAGTCAATTTCTCCCAACAGAGAGGATTTTTAAGTTAAAAGATGTGGGAATAACTTATATATCCTGAATTTTCATTTAATTCTGTTGAACATTTAAAATCAGCATAAAAAGCAGACATGTTCCTCGATCAGCCCGTTATGGCATCCAAGACGCCGTGTTCTCTAAAGCTTTGATGCTGCACATCATATAGAAACTTCCAGTCAAAATGAAAAAACTGGTGAGGTATCTGAGCAGCAGCCATGATAAGCAGTATGAATTCTCTGGACGCTCATCAGAAGAGCTCCAGTGCTTCCCTTAAGATTAATACGAAGGATACACTGGACCATACTTTTTGAAAAAAAATAAAAAATACTTGCACTACATGTTATCAATGAAGACAAATCTCAGAGAATGACGGTAAGAGTATGAAGCCTGTGAAAAATGTGTTAGTTTTTTTTTAATATGACTAACCTGCAAACTGATACAACTTCTCTAATCTGATACAAGTGTTGTGCGGAAGACAAAGTAAGTATTATTTCCCTGATGCCGTCATGGGTTACTTAAGTGGTTTATCAAGTCCAGAAAGAAACTGGAAATGGCTATTTCAGCAAACTGAGGGCTGGAAAATTCATTCCCCGCTGTCGACTCCAGAGGTTTCATCTTGTTACCAAACCTTGCAGTTATTTTCATGACTCGTTTCCAAAAGTTTTGTTGTCCAACGAAGGCCAAGGAGAGGGCCAGGCCTGCAGACCCTGCACCCGCTTCCTCTGCTTTATCATGGTAGAACCCCCACCCCCCTTGACAAGCCATGCTTTGTCAGAATTTTTTCTGACATGTTGCTTTGAGCATAGAGGCTGACACTCTGCGTCCCCCGGAGACATTTTTGGAACAGTCCACTGGTGACTGCAGCAGCAAAATGAGGATGAGAAGGATGACATCAGTGTATAGCCGTTAGTCTTCTGAACCGTCCAAAGCCCCCACCCACAACCCACCAGCAAATAAGGGGACAAGCTTTGTTTGCACCATGGCCACAAAACAGCCTTTAAAAATAATGGTGTAATCACAGAAATCTAAAAAGGACAGTGATTAAGTTGCATAACCATCTTCATTCACTGAATAGAAAACCCTCATGCTGAGCTGCATGACTGCAAAGAGCTTACATCCATTCAACAACCTCTTGTCATGCATCCCCTTGATTTGATGCATAGGTTTAGCAGGCCTTTTTTCAAGGCTTCCCTCTTCATTCAAAACATGAGGGTCTTGTTTATGATGAGGGATGATATTTATTAGTAGTGCTCGGCTTTACCATGATAGTTGCAGAGAAGTTTAATGAGAGATATTAAAACCATCACAATTATTCAATAATTAGATGCTGCAGCCACATGAAGGCTGAGCTCATAAGCAGTTTCTTACATTACCGAACTGACCTTAAAAACTTTCCATTGGAGAAACATTATGCAAGTTTACTATCCAATTAAGCAAACTGGAATAAGTCTGCTGAAAATGCTGGACAGATTAGAAACGCTGCCAAACGTTGATTGCCTTGAGTATCATGTGGCTCTGAGCCTGAACAATACAACAAAGACAATCTGCCACAGCAAAGCCTTTTTATAAACCTGACAGTGATGCATATCTACATTTAAAGATGAACGTATGTTAGCTGACATTCCATGAAGATGCTCTTCAAGTTCAAGGGTGGTTGTGTACCGTACATTCTTTGTCACAGAGCATGGAAATGGATGTCAAGGATACACATGAAGTCTTATACTTGACAAAAGCGAGAAGACAAAATGAGTGCAACAATGCTTGCAGATGACCAGACAGACAGATGGCACTTGCATCTGGCCATTTTCTGGTTTATCATCCGTTTATACATTGAGATGCATGGTGAGAACTGTCAGATGACCGCTTCTGGTTAAATGTGCATTTACTAAACAGCACCCGAACAAAAAAACAAGAATCTCTTCCACTTCTGCCTGAGCGGCATCCCAGTCTGATCATGGCGAAAAAGCAGCACAACTGTGGGAAGCAGACAGCAATGGCATGACTGCAACAAATTGGTTTTGTTTTGGCGTCACTCACATCCGAGGACTCCTGCGTTCTCTCCAGCCGTTAAACAACAATGGCAGTAGTGTTGCAGTTGCATGGCTGAGGGGCTAGGCAGCTCACTACACACTCTGGCTGTTGTTTACTTGGAAGAAGAGGATGAGGAGTGGGAGCAACCATGGGGATAAATCTGCCATATTCCGAAATAATCACATGCAGCTTTTGGCCTGCTGGTATTGTGAACAGCTACTGAGCAAGTGTTAAAAGCAGCTCTGCAGAAGAAGAACCAAACCAGCAACATGACTGCTTTGGGCTTGGATATATGATCAGAAGCGGCCAATTTGCTTTCAATCGCACATAGCGATTTAATCAAAAGTCTAACTCTTCTGTAAAAACATCTGTAAAGCTCACTGCAATAAAGGGATATACATAGCCAGTTTCATCAAGTGCTTTGAGCATCTTACCGGTTTAGGCATCTTTGCTTCCTATCCTCCTTACACCCAACAACTGAGAGGTTAAATCCGTCACAGGACGGCACCAACACCTGTGTCACAAGATCTGGAAAATAAAGTTTTAAAATGCATGTTAAAGAACTCCCTCCAGTCACTTAACACGCATGGGTTCATAATGAGCCTACCCAAAAACACCATCTCTTAGGTGCAGTCAGTGAATGATCATAACATTTTAAATCAGCAGTGTGGACATTCCATAATCACAAAAAGCTTCAAACAAAGGTTCAGAAAAGATATCTCTCAAACAGTATAAAAATTACCATAAAGTGAAACATTGAAACAAAAAGAACCGATTCATTTTTTAAATTAATTTCTTTATAGGAATACCTCATCTACCGGACTCCTGGCTGTGCTTCTGGCAACATGCATGCATATTTCACTTAAAAGCCTGAAGATTTTGCAGCAACATGTACATGTACTGTAAAACGACACTGAACTTTTCCTGGGAAACCTTTGTTTCACCTGTGTGGGCATGTCACACTGTTCATTCTCACTGGTTACCGAAGAGTTGAAAGCGTAAACAGATCTTAACATAGGCTGTGTTCTCAAAATTAATTTTACTTCATCTAGACAAAGACACTTGCTTAAAAAAATTAAATAAAACATTGAATGACCTTATGGTTTTACTCCTACCAGAACTCTGAAGCTGTGTTTTTCCAACTCTGGTTCTCAACACACACTGTCCTGGATGTTCTCCAGCTTCCCCTGCTCCAGCACACCTGATTCAAATGAATAGATCAGCTCTTTAGGCTGGGCTGAGGGGACCCATGGAACCATTCATTTGAATCAGGTGTGCTGGAGCAGGAAAACACTGAAAACATGTAGGGCAGTGTGTCCTGAAACCCGGGCTAGAAACACTTCTCCAACTGTTAACCATTTGCAGACTAAAACATAACACATTTATCAATAGTAAAGTTTCAGAAAAACAAGAAAACACATCACCCAAAAAACCAATGGTTTTATTATACTTTTACGGTTTTACTTTAAGATACCAAATTAACAAAACCGTGTCATGTGTAAAAAAACTCATACGTTTTTTTTTCTTAATTTTGAAGTGAAGAGAAAATGTGTGCCATTTTATTGCAAATGTTAATATTAAATGAAAATGTAATCAAATAAAAAGATATGTTAAAGAGCCATTAGGTTACATGTAGAAATGTCCCCCGTCAACAGTAAAATGGAAGCTTATACAGGTAAGGTGTGAAATAGTTTATTTTGAGTTTAATATTTGTTTCAGGATTTGGAGTTTGTTCTTGCTCATTCGTGACAGCAATACGTCTTTTTTTTTTAATTACCCGCCTATTTGGCTTCCGTTACAGCATAAATCAGCACAAATGAACCCAGCAACTGTTGCTCTGCTGGAGAGACGTTAGCAACAGCACAGGAGACGACAAACGCGTTCAAATCTCAGTTTCACGGTAGAGAAAAAGCTTTTGGTTGACTTTATAACCATAGTACATTATCATGGCATGCTATATCCCAAATATGCTCTCAAAAGCCAAATGTTTTTTCGTCGAAAAACTGGCATCTTCAAGCTAGTGGGTGTTGTCTTCATAACGGGACAACCCTGGCCGAGGTTTGAAGTTGTAACGCTTTACGTGTTGTTCTAATTAATTCACAGCATTTCCTCCACGAAAGAACGAACAAACGTACCGTGTAACTGTGGCACAAGACAGAAAAAACACCCGGCTTGTGGACGCCCTGTTTGCCAAAATTTAGTTAAAGTCGGCCTTTCAATTAAGTGCGAGCACGTCGAACACGAGGATATCCGCTATTGCACCAAACTTGAAGAGGAGCTCATCTTTAAGGGAGAGGCAACTCACCGGGGCACAATGTGTGTCTTCGCTCAAGAGCCGAGCCTGGTATCTCTGAATTTAACAAAGCAGTTACGATGAAAAATAAGCGCTTGTTTTTGTTCCTCGTCTCTCCCTGGGTTTGTCGGAACTAACGACCGCAGACATGAGAAAACAGATGAAGTCTGAGCGACCATAAGGCGATTTGGGGTGCAAGTGTTAAAACAGAGGGAATGAATGACTAGATTTCCGGTCTCAATCTTAAAAATAAAACAGTCGTGAAAGTGTGGGGGGGGGTCAAAAGTACATTTACAGCCTAACAAATGGCAATAACTATGTCATTTTTATGATTATATTGTCACCAGAGATTCATCAGTTACCGAAATTGCTCATAGCGGAGAACAATATGTTGAAGCCATAGATGATCTTTGTTTTGAAGGAAGAGTTTGCATTTCCTGTTATCTCTACTCTGTACGGCACACTTGACGTAGCTAACGGTAAAGACGTACAACATGGCTGTCAGCAGCCTCCGAGAAGATGCTAAATACATGTGGGGAAAGTAGCATGCCATGGAAATGTAAGAAGGGTTTGAGGTTCTCTAAAGACATGTTTCACAGAGAATTGATGCAACATGTCTACTTTACTCTTTTTTAATGCGGTAACTCACTTTAAATAAGTTCATTAGTCCAAATAGTTGTGGTCTGGATGAACCATGCTGTCCCTTCTTAAGTCTTTTTGGTTAGCCTGAATAAAACCAACCCCCTTTACTTTTATCTTGTCCTTTATGGAATTTGAGTTATCAAACTAGAAATGAAAGTGCTTAAGAAGACATGAAGATGTCGTCACAGATCACTTGTTGCAGAAAAAAATCCTTTAGGCTGATATTTGTGGTCTGTGGTTAACTAGTGTCCCCTCGTGGCCACAAGGCGCACACGCTCTTCAATCTTGGTCGGCGTCTCCTGAAAAAATTATTTTTTAAAATCTCCACACCGTAAAAATGTCCAGAATGGGCAAACAAATTAAGTTAACAAAAATAATTATATCATGTATATCTATCGATATAGCGTCACAAGTGCACTGCTCCTGATTGTGCTTTATATAGATTTAATTAGAATACAGAATATAAATACATATATGTAGTCGGTTTCTCCTCTGAATTTTTTTTCCTCTTTTTTATCGAGGTTCCAACGACCTGTGGGGACTATTTTATTGACTCACCGACCACCCCTTTACCCAGGCAACAGGTAGCTTCCAGGTTTAATGGCTTTTAAATGAAAGGTTGCTCAGGAAATGCAACGAAGAGGGATATAAAGAACACCAGGAAATAAGAGATAACACTGGTCCCATGCGTCATGAGGAGACAAAAGATGGCCCAGTATTGGTTCCAGCTACTTGGCTGCGTGGTGGGTGGAGTTTCCAAAGCGCGCAGGTAACAGGAGAGCACAAACATCCGAAAGTTAGGAGTCTGATAAAGCCCAGACACCGCGGCAAACAGAACCCCGCTGCATGAATGTAGTTTTCGCTTTGGACACATGGAGGCAGCGCGTTTCTTTCTGATCTTTCGGTGAGGCGAACCTGAACGTTTTATTCATGCAGTTAAGAAACATCAACAAGTGCAGCTCCACAAATTCAACCAGCACATTAAACGTCAGTGAGCAAAGCTATCAGATTGAAAATTCAGCATTGGTACAACCGAGTTTCCCTTAAACTTCCCCAGACTGTACAGATCATGAGGACAGGGCAGGCCACAATCAGGTGTGTGATGCCTGGTTTGCACATGTGGGACTGGTCAGGGAAACAAATTCTGACTTTTGTGAGAGAAATGTATAGCAGGAGATGCTTTACTAAGAATCTGAGCCTCTTTCAGTCGGAGAAATCCAAAGTCAGCTTGAGCTGACTGAATATTGTTTTTTCATCTACCTGGCCTCCAGTGACCTCCTTATTTTATTTACCAGTGGAGCCCAAGTTTACAGTGAAGGATTTCTGCCCTGCATTAAAGCTGCAATGAAAACTGAATCCTTAAAAAAAAGTAACTTTATTGTCATCCATCTACTTCATTAACTGGACAGTTGCAGCATGTTGTTTCATAACAGTAACATTTGGACTCACTGATGTCTTCTACTGCTGTTTTTCTCTATAATTAATTGTCCTTTTTTCCTTTATTTCCTTGCATGCAGGTGGACAGCCTGCTGAGGGGCCCAGAACGACTCCTTCCATGTGTTTACTTTTGAGAATAACATTTGCTGGCAAATTAAAACTGAAAGTGAGTTTGTTCCTTTTCTTTACAAAAATCCACGCACCTGAAATCTGCTGACTCCTTTATTACTGATCACTCTGGACATTCCCTGGGCCCAATCTAAAAACTTAGCTGTTAGATGTGTCACATTGTGTTGCACGTGGAGCTCACTATTGGTCTTTATTTATCCTGGCATAACACCCACGTCACAAGACCTTCGTCCATATGACTAAGAGCATGCTGCTCTATTGTCAGATCAATGAAAGGAGCCACTGTCCAGCGTAATTGGAAGAGGAATTGGACAAATTTGTGTTGATTTTTCTACCAGAGGCATCAGGTGTGTGTGTTAGAAAGGAGAGGTTTCTTAGACATAACGTAAAGGCTTAGCCTTTAGCTCAGTTATGTTTCTTTTAATTCTGAAGTTCATTTTTAGAAAATGAATTTATGTGATCTGTGTCATAATTTACACCCAACTTCACTGCATTTGGTGAAATTTGTTATTTAAACTGTGACCCTTCTCAAGGTAATGCTGAGGTAAAATTAGTCCCACTAATGTCATCAACACCCCTGAAAGAATAGAGCTTGTGTGTGGGTTGTGCACAGGCTTGAATGTTGTTATGTATTACGTAATAGGAGAACTTTCTTCAGTGGTGGCCTGCCTGTCCCTTCCTTCCTCCCTTCCCTCTCAGCATAACGCTAACCAAATTAAGCATCAGTCTGTTTCTGTTCTCATTATTCCTGCTGTGTTGTTTCATCTTAGAGCGCAGCTGAAGGACACTCACTCAGCTTTTGCTTGCTCAGTGTAGTCATATTTAGCTTTTCTGTTCTGCCAGAGGCTGCGGCGTACATGTGAAAGGGACAGTCGGCTGAGTTTTTGTGTCCAGAGGAAAGGATGGGACAACAGGCGTCTGTGGCAGAAGATGTGGAGGAGGCGGTGGAGGTGCTGTCAACCATCAGTGGTAAGAGGCCCTGCAGGGCCCGTCAGCCTGTCCTCTGCACGTGTGCGTTCAGTGCTGATCTA